TAATATATATATATATATATATATATATATATATATATATATATATATAGAGAGAGAGAGAGAGAGAGAAAATTGCATTGAAATATATATTTAATAAAGTAATAATATATCTTTTTCCCCTAAGACATAATGATAAAAGTTGTCAAACTACTAAGTAATTTCATTCTTTTAATGAGGCTGTTTTATCATTATGATTTCACTGTTGTAGCACCCTAAAATTTTTGACTTTATACTACATCAAAACGAATATTAATACAGAAATTAAAAACATGCTCTTCATAGAATTATCTTTAGTTTTGTACGCAGACTGCTCCGCATAGCTTTTAACTTTCTAAAAATACTGAAAGCTGCTAAATTGTAAATTGCTAAATACATCTTAACAGATCTAATATAGTGTCTATGTGTGTGTGTGCAACCATCTAAAATTCACTGACCCCTTTACTGTTTGTTCAACTAGAGCCATTTAACCGTATTGCCCCTCACAAGCCTGTTTTTGCATCATTATAAACACGAAAACTGTGTAATGCTGTTGAAAGGCTGTAAATTGCAACTTGTGGTTCAGTCTCGTGTAAAGGGACTTCCTGGTATGGTCCTGGGTTCTCCGTCTTGAACTACAGTAAAAAAAAAAACAGTGTTTTATGCAGCACGCTATAAAGGAACATTATTTGCTATGCAGTGTAGCACAATTCCTCCAACAGGTCCCTTGCTGTGCAACAGCAGCACTCCATCAACAGTGTAGTCAAGTAGCCAATAAACTTGTGTACCATATGGACGCTAGTCCCAACTGTGGGTGCAATCTGTAACACAGAAGCATGCTGCTACAGGAAGTGGAGAGAGAGAGAGAGACAAAGAGAAAAGGAAGGGGGAGTAGAGGGCAAGGGAAAAAAAGTGATCAATTACTCACATTACATACAGTCCTTCAGGAATTTTCTTTATTGGCCTGGACATCTGTTATAATATTGTCATAATGTGTAATCAGATGGGGGCTGTTGTAGCCAAGTTGGGGAATACATCTTGAAAGTCCAATTAAAATGCACAGTGACACTGCCTCTGTCCATCTGGTGAATAGCATTGTGTTTTCCCCTCTCTTTTTCTCCTATGCATTTCCTCCGACGTGGATTGGCATTTTTTAAATGCATTTTTGTAAAATTCTAATTATTTGTGTGGGTTTGTAGTTTCCTGCTTTACAGCCCGTGGATATAACCTAAAATGGAAGATAGGTGGCATTGTGCATTTACACATGAAGTGATACCTGAACAGACTGGCTATTAAAGGGCTAGTTGACACAAAAATAAAAATTCTTGTCATCAATTATACATTCATGTGTCTATGGGTGGGCTATATCACCAAAATATTCTATCACTATATGAGTAATTTTATTTCACGGTAAAGATATTTATCACAATATAGTTATTTTTGCTTTAAAGGAACACTCCACTATTTTTGAAAATAGGCTAATTTTCCAACTCCCCTAGAGTTAAACAGTTGAGTTTTACCGTCTTCGAATCCATTCAACCAATCTCCGGGTCTGGCGGTAGCACTTTTAGCTTAACTTAGCATAGATCATTGAATCGGATTAGACCGTTAGCATCTCGCTCAAAAATGACCAAAGAGTTTCTATATTTTTCCT